TTCCTTTCCTTTGAATGCGTTCTAATTTACTGACATATATCTTATGACAGGGACATGTGCTATCTTGCATATTTTTATATAGTTGCCTTTTCTTACTCAGTCCAGTTTTTCCCATTCTAACTACAGTACATTTGAAGTTTATTCGATGTAGCGGGCTGTATATAATGATTTTTTTAATGAYAAAGTATGTACTTGCAAGAGACTCTAACTATTGACCAGATTTTTTAAAAATGCGGGTTTTTTTTGTCATCAGATTTGTGAGGTTTAAAACTTTGGAAGAGGCACGTCGTGCAGTGTCAGTCATGAATGGTCGAATTCTTGGAAACAACCATATCATTGTTGAAATTGCTTCTGAGACCAGAAACGCATTGAGCCCTGGTGATAAAGACAAAGAAGTACTTYATGACGGTGAGGATGTCCGTCAGTCTGCTATTGGGGTTGTCCTGCAGGGATGGCAGTGGTCTAAGCAAAAGGGAGCATATTTTTATACAATACTCCTTTTTCGAATTCAAAGCGAAAAAAAAAGCGCTGCTCTATTTGACTACAGAGAGAGCACGAGAAAATGTCGTTATTACAATGGCCTTGAAAGTTTGCATCTCCCCAAGTTGAGACTAACCAGCTGTATTCCCATAAGACCTAAGGTTTAAGGCTTTTGGGAATACAGGGTTAGCCTCAATTTGGGGAAAATATCAAATTGTTCGCGCTATTGTCCTTACAACATTTYCTGGTGCTTTCTTTTGCGTTAGTAATGTCTTTGCGTAAGAAAATCTGCTGTCAAATAAAACAGCGGAGTATAGTTTTGAAGTCATGCAGGGATACCAAATGTGCATATAACGCCTATTTTCGTCGCCGAACCTCTCGTGTGCTGAAGTCAGTTGTCCATATTGAATTACTCATGCCTTTTATTTCCGCTCACGTCCATCTCGTTTGCATTGACTCCAGCACATGAGATATTCAACGTCAGTGCTTCAAAGAACCTAAATGAACCTAATGACATGAAACGTTGTATCGCAAGTTTCATAATTTTAGTTTGGTGATTCATTTAGCTAGAGACGGTAAATAAAAACAGACCACTATTATATATACTATATATTATAAGATTGTTATCATCATTAATCAGGATCATTATCTTTATCATTATCATTATTAATATTATTTATTTATATATTTTTTTATTTATTGTAGGGCGAGATCGACTGATGCGAAGAAATTATCCCTCACTACTTGAGAATCGACGCAGCGAAGATCGCGAAGAAGAAATTTTGCRGAAAAAAGTGGCCAATTCGTTGGCAGAGCTTAAATCTGGTAATTACTTTTTCTCAAAACTCAATCGTAAGTTTTGGGAGGAAGGGGAGGGCTGGTTCATGCAGTCCTATTCAAATAAAGCAGTTTTACGTCTGTTGTTATTATTATGGTCTATCATACAGAGATTTCCACTCATTTTTCCATAACCTCGCGACGACATCGAAGGAGAGTCTAACAAGAAGTATATGACTTTTTTGTTGTTGTTTTTTAATGAGATTCAATATATAATCCTTTTTTCAGAGAGTTCGCTCCTTGAACAAATCGAGGAAATTTTAAAGAAAGTTTCTTTAAAACCTGGTGAAACAACCGTTGTGCCATCAAAAGACGAAGGGCCACCATGTTCGATTCAAAGGTAAGTGATTGGTTGTTATCTTGTAATTATACTTCATCAACGAGCCAATTCAAGTAACCACGACACGTAACTTACATTACAAGAAATTTTGTATAGAAGTAATATTCGCCACTGTGATACCAGATACGGTGATATCCTGATAAAGCAATACGTTGTCTCGGCCTTGATGACCTTCAAAATATACTCAAAGCTTAGAGAATTCTTCAGGGAATTTCTTGCAGGGAATTCGCTGACGATGCTGTAAACACCGTAAGCTTAAAAATGCACATTAAAAACTTACAAATAGGAGCCAAGGCTTCATTTGATACATTCCTAATGTACGCATCATGCTGCTAATGGATAACTTCATAAGTTTATTTATTCTCTGAAGCTATTTCATTCTCGCTTTCAGTTTTCACCCAAAACAATTATCAAGCAGTCGTCAGTTAGATTCCCCTGAACCTCGTTATGACGTCACTTGTGTCAGTCGTAATGGTGGCAATAGTGAAGCAATCCCGAACGAACAGAAAGACAAGAAGAACACTGGAAGTACAGGAACTGATTACCTCACATCACAACGACCACCACACTACGTATCGGTACCATTACCAAGCCATGGACAGACTGGTAACGATACAACTGAATGTCAACCTACCGGCCACCTCTCACCACCGAAAGCAGATAATATGATTTCACAAACAGCACGAACTAGTCCTGGACAGACTGATAACGTTATACCTGAATATCAACCTACTGGCCACTTCTCACCACCGAGACCAGATAATATGATTTCACAAACAGC